GGGCGGAGGCTTGCTTTGTTTGGGGGGGCGGAGCGTGGCGCCGCCCCATAACTCCTCCCGACTCGGCCGCCGCTGGCCACCAGGATTTTCGACGTGAAGATGCTGCAGGATGCGGAGGCGCTCGGTTGGTCCCCGCGCGTCCTGAGGAAACAGGAAGAACAGGAGGATGGGCGAAGTGGTGGTGGGAGCAGGAGGAGGAGGAGGAGGAGGAGGAGGAGGAGGAGGAGGAGGAGGAGGAGGAGGAGGAGGAGGAGGAGGAGGGGGAGGAGGAGGAGGAGGAGGAGAGGAGGAGGAGGAGGAGGAGGAGGAGGAAAGGGCTAACGAGCAGAATGAGAATTTGAGTATCGAGTTTTGTCATACATGTCTGGTCCGGTTTTGAGCCTCCGTGGGCCTCCAGGAGCCTCCAGGGTTCTTTGGTCTCCGGGCATTCCTGGGGAATTCGGAGTCTTCTGGCGGCTTCCAGGGAAACTTCTGGAAGCCTCCTGGAGCAGGCAGAAGATGCGGAGGCGGATGAGAGGGGCGAAGTGGTGGCTAGAGGAGGAGGAGGAGGAGGAGGAGGAGGAGGAGGAGGAGGAGGAGGAGGAGGAGGAGGAGGAGGAGGAGGGAGGAGTAGGCGGAGGCGGACGAAGAGGAGCAAGAGGATAAGAAGGAGAGCGACGGAAGGGAGGGCAGGAGGGGAGGGGAGAGAAGGTGAAAGAAGGGAGCCCCAGAGGCCTCGAGAGCCCCCCGAGAGGCCCCAAAATACTTCCTGGTGCCGAAACGCGCCCAGAGTCCAGCAAGGCATGAGGGTGTAAACCCGATGGCCGATGCTCTGGAGGGTCCTGAGGCTGCAGTACTGCTCATCGATGTTCTGCCAACCAAACCTGCAGGGTTGGTTCTTTCCGTTTTTCTGTGCACTTCAGCTTTGGTTTCGGCTTCAGTTGTGGGTGCACTGTGAAGCGCCTTCGGGCCAGCTCACCCGAGTCGGATTTCAGCTCGCATGGGTGCACCTCCTCTCCCAACAAAATTCAAACAGGCAAATGAGCGAGCCCATGACAGGACTTATCCACTTGACTTTGCAGCTGATCTTTGGCCATGTTTGCCCCTGCGATCGGTGCCTGGAGCCTGGAGCTACACGAGCTGGGGCTATTCCAGCTGATTGAATTAGTGCGGGCAGTTTGAAGACATGTCGGCCAGGAAGCTGAATGATTAGAGGGACTGGAAGCACGATGCTTTGTCAGAGTGGACCGCCGTATAGGCGCCATCTGGTGCCAGAGCCACGCCTCCAACTAGACCAGGAGAAGGGCGGGCACGGTCTTCCTGGCCCGACTCCGCCGAACGCGACGGGCAGCTGCTCCATCACGACAAAGCTCGTAGAGGTAGACTTGTGGGGTCGCCGTCACCCCAGTGGTCCCTGCAGCGCCAGCGAAGTCAGCAGATGGGCAGGCCCTTCTGCGATGACTGGCTGAAGATATACGCCGGATGCAGCGATACAATCCAGAAGGTTGACAGGGGCACCCGCCTGCCGTCGCCACACACGGCAGGCGCTCGGCGGCCAACGCGAGGGGCGGCACCAATGCCTTCGAGGCGAACCTGCTGCAGCCAGGCTGGGCCAAGGGCAACGAGGCGGGCACAGATTGATCTTCCCAATTCGGCAATAGGTTCAGGGTCAACAGCCTCGTCAAGGTGAAAAACATGACGAGCTGCCGGGCAGACGGCAGGGACCTCTAGAGGGCCAGTTGACGGCAAGGGCGGCAGGGCTGTCAGTCAAGTGGGCGCGCACCGGGCGCAAGAGCGTGCGGCAGCTCGACGTCACGCAGTTGAGAAGTGCTTCGCCCACGCTGGGACGGACAAGCTTGACCCGCCTCTGCGTAGCGCGACGGAGTCATTATCATTTGCAGCCTTACTCCTATTTTCCCCCGCGGCCCTGCCTCGCTAACCCAAGCAGTTGTTCCTTCCGATGGCTTCGGCCGTGTGCGATTTTACTTAGTAAGCGATGGTACATACTTAAAATGAATGTCCAACTTCCACTCTTTCCAACTTCCCTGTACAGGAAGCACCACCTCTGACATCGTGTTCGCGATCGACCTTGGAGCGCAGAGGAGCTGCGGGCAAGCCAGACTTCGAATCAGATCGCTGGCGTCACGGGGTCTGTGACTGCCAAGGGCGGATTCAGAGTGGTCGCGTCCAGCCGTTGCGTTGACCACTGCTGCCGCAAGTGCAGCAACCCAGACTGATTCCGGGCATTTTTCGACCACGCGCAGAGGGTGGCAGGAGGAGGGTGAAGGCTTCTTAGAAACACCCCTGCTTCCTAGAAGGCGCGGGCCTTGTCTGTAGATGTAAGGCCCGCGCCTTCTAAGAAGCAGGGGTGCTTCTAAGAAGCCTTCCCCCTCCTCCTACGCCAGTGTGCGCGCGGCCAAATTTTGGCTGTGCGCCGCCTGTGTGTCGTGGGTGGTGCTTCCATCTGTGAATCCAAGCCCATGTCGCCAGCGCGCAGCATGATCCCAGTGGAAACTGGACGACGGGTGTCCGCATGCTGCACCGTCTAGACTGTGACTGATGGCCCGGGCTCAGGCCAACTCACGGCTGTTTTGAAAGACCTGACCCTTTGCATCGCTCGGACGTGTGCATTTTTTATCGGCAAGGGCCATCGAGGAGCATTTTTGCTCACGTTGCGAAAAAATACACGCCCGAAACCGAAAAATGCACAGGGAATGGACGTCCAAGCGATGGCGAGGACCGCCATCCTGGGATAATGCGTCGCATTTCAAGAGACCCCGGGAGGCATTCGAGTGGAGGCTCCACTTTCCGCCGGTTCATCAGACATCCTTGGTTTTGTACGTACGTCTCCCTCTCCTCCTGCTTTTTCTCGTCCTCCACCGCGCTCTCGTCGTCGTCGTCCTCTCCATTCCTGAACGCTCTCCTTGGCGTGGTGGGCCTCTTTGCGGAGTTTGGATCCAGTCATCTATGCAGTTTTTGTAGAGACTTGCCAACAGAAGCTCGGTTCTCCCATAGACCTTCGCAGCTCCCAGGATCAGGAGGCGGAGGAGCAGCAGCAGTATCAGACGAAGAGGAGACGGAGAAGGAGCTCCTCCTTCTCGCTCCCTCTTCTATATCCTCCCTCCTCTCAACCCTCCTCCCAACTTTTGAATATCCCCTGTGACGATTGACACTGAGTGGGTTTGACAAACATTTGGAGACATGGCATAGGTACGAATCAAGTTGCCAGGCCGAGCGAGTCAGAGGTCCCCGCATATTCCCACCCTCCCTCCCAAAACAGAAGGATCAATCGTGGCACATTCGGATTGGGACGCGTTCCCACCTCGCAAACAGAAGGCGCTTGCGCGCTGCCACGCTTCTGGCGACTTGGCGAAGGGAAAATTACGCGGGCCGCGCAGGGGCGGGAGCGGCAAAACTTCTGATGGGCGCGGCGAAGACGAAGCATGCGCCGCGCTGACACGGCATCGCCACTTTCATTCGCAAGCTGCGCATCGCGTGGGCAAGGTCGACATTTCGCCCATTCTCGCGCGGCCCCGCTGCCGCTGCCGCTTTCACCCGATTCGGCGAACGAGTCACGCGCCGCGCCCGCGCGGAAACTCAACTTCGGAGCGAAATGTGCACGGAGTTTGGGCGAGGGCGACACGTCGTATCGCCCACTCCCGAGACGGCCCCAGAGCCGCCCAAGACGGCGCAAGAGGGTCCTAAGAAGGCCCCAAGAGGGGCCCAAAAGAGGGAACGCGAACTGAAAAATGAAGCTCTCTGCCCCAAGATGCCCCCAAGAGGTCCCAAGATGCCCCCAGGAAGCCCCCAAGAGGCCCAAAGAAGCCCAAAAGATGCTCCAAGAGGCCCCAAGACGGCACCCAAAAGGCTTCAAAACTCCTTCTAAGAGGCCCCCGAAGACATGCCAAGAAGTTCCCATGACGACTTCAAGAAGCAGTCCAGGATGCTCCGAGGAGGCCCCAAAAAGCTAGCTAGAATTTGAGCGCGCGCGAAACGCGCGCGATGGTTCTTGTTTCTAGTGTATATGTATGTACGTATTTGGTGTCAGCTGGGTCGTGCAACACACGTGGTGTGAGCTGTGTTGTCAGAGCTGCGTTGTGAAGCCTCCTTGGCGTAAACTTCGTTATGCCTTGCGTGGAAGGCTCCGTGGTGCAAGCTACGTGGTGTTTTTTTTCAGTCAGCGGCCGCGGGCGAGCGCGCCGGCGGCGAGTCAGGTCAGAGCGGGCTACGTAGAGACTGATGAAGCAAAGGCAGCGCGAACAGGCTACGCCTAACGCACTTGGCATCGCTCGGACGTGTGCGTTTTTTCTTCGGCGAGGACCATCGAGGAGCATCATTGATCATTTGGCGAAAAAGCCACGCACGAAATCGAACAAAAAACACAGGGAATGGACGTCCGAGCGATGGCCAGGGAAACCCAGCGAGCTCCTTCAGCGAACCATGTGAGTCGGGGGTGGACAGACCTCCTACCCTGACACGTCGATTCAGGAATTGGCCGTATAGGGCGTCGCGGCCGTCATTTTTGCGGGTCCAGGACCGTCGGTTCCAGTCCCAGGCCGTTTTCGCTAAGGGGAGGTCTACTAAAGGGAGGTTTGTCCACCGCCGAGTGAGGCCCTAAAGGGTACGCATCGTGCTGGGGGTAAATCTTTCGTGCAGTCAAGACGCTGAAATAAGGACCCTTGGCATCGCTCGGACGTGTGCATTTTTTCTCGGCGAGAACCATCGAGGGCCATCCTGGACCATCGAGCCAACAAAACACGCTCAAAACCGAAAATTGCGCGGGAAATGGACGTCCGAGCGACGGCTCCTTCAGTGAACCATGTGAGAAGCCCTACAGGGTACGCATCGTGCTGGGAGTCGATCTTTCGTGCAGTCAAGACGCTGAAAGAAGGACCGCCTTGGGCTCAGAAGGAACTCTGTGCAGTGCTTTCGGGCCGTTCCCTAGACCTAGGTCGGTGCACCTCGTCGTTGCCGAGGCTCGCCACGGCCAGAAAGCCCCTCAGTTCCTCACTTGAGCGACGCAAAAAAAAACGGGGTCGTCTTCCCCGGCATTGGCGCGTAAGCTGCCCGCGTAAGGTCGCGCATAAGGTGGCTGCGCTGGGCCCCCCCCGGCGGCACCTCCAGCGCCGCCCTTGGCGCGCTCCGCGCGCCAGGGAGGGGAGATCCGCGCGGAGCGCCAAAAAACTATGTTTATGGCGTTTGTCCTTCTTATAACCCTTTCGGACCTCCGACAGCTCAAGCAGCCGAAGATGCCCCCAATTGGCAGCCCCGCGTAAGCCACCGCGTAGGGTCGCCATGCCGTCTCGCGTGCGGTCGGATCGAGGTATAAGATCGAGGTCGGTCTGAGGAGGGTACCCTAATGTTTTTCGTGTTTGTTGGATGTTCTTGCGCATCCTGGGGAGGGTATCCTTGGATGTTCTGTATGTTTTGGCTGGCTGAGGGTCTCATGTTCTTGAAGGATGTGATTCAGTCCTAGTGCAAGACCTGTGTTTGATCGTCGCTCATGTATTTTTGTTGGATCCATTCTGTAGGGAACGAGGAGGAGGAGGAGGAGGAGGAGGAGGCCCCGCCCACTGTGCACGCATAGCTATTCCCCTACCAGATCCTCCTGATCTGGTTCGTGATCATTGTCTGGCATCTCCCCTCACGTGTCGCGGCGGACTGGGTTACTCTCGCCTTGGAGGGCCACTATTCGTTGCCTTCCCGACGACCACTATTCTTTCCTTTCCCTCTTTGAGTGGCCGTTCCTGCACCCGTCCGCGGCCTGATTTGTTTGTTGTTTCGCCGAAGTCGGCGATTTTTTGCATCCTTACATACGAAAGAGCGTGTTCTACCGCTGCTGGCGGAAAACCTGGGGGGGTCACTACCGGTTCGAACCCCTCCCCCCCCCCCCCCCCCCCCCGGAAAGAAAAACGGGGGGGGGCGGCACTCTTTTAGGGTATTCTTTTTTTTATATTTTACCGGTTTCGAATCCATCCCCCCCCCCCCCCCAGCTATCATGAAAAGGCGGGGGGGTCACTACCGGTTGAACCCCCCATCTCCCAGCCTTCCCCCTGAAACCGAAGGAGGGGTTCGGACAGTGGTGGGGACGGTTGTTGGTGGGGACAGTGTGAGGGGACGCGGGGACAGTGGTGGTGGGACAGGGGGGACATTGGTACAGTGGTTCGGTGGGGACGGTAGTGGTGGGGACGGTAGTGGTGGGGACAGTGGTGGGGACAATGGTGGGAGCAGGGGGGACAGTGGACAGTGGTGGGAACGGTGGTGGTCGGGACAGTGGTGTGGGGACAGTGGGAATGAGGTGGAAACACTGGGACAGTGGAGGGTACAATGGTGGTGGAGACATTGGTAAAGGCGGTGGCGAGGACGGCGGTGGGACAATGGGACAGAGGTACAGTGGGGACAGTGGTGGGGACAGTGGGGACAGTGGTGGAAACAGTGGGACAGCTCAGTGGGACAGCGGAGGAGTCAGTGGGACAGTGGGGAAAATGGGGATAGGCAGTGGTTGGGTCCGTGGAGACAGTGGGGAGAGTGGAACCGTGGTGGGAACAGTTGTGGGAACAGTGGGGACAGTGCGACAGTGGTGGGGGCATTGGTGGGGACAATAGGGACGGTGGTGGAACCAGTGGGGACAGTGGTGGTGAGGACAGTGGTGCTGGGAACAACAGTGGGGGATGTGATGCGAGCGGTGGTAGGGACCGGGAGTCGTTTGCTGGCGGTGCGTGGGGGGGGGGGGTCGAACCGGTAGTGATCCCCCTCCGGTTTTCGAGGGGGGGGGGGGGGGGGGGGGGGTTCCCCAACCGGGGAGTGACCCCCCAGGGTTTTCCGGATCCTGAAGGGGGGGGGGGGGGGTTCGAACCGGTAGTGAAGACCCCGGGTTTTCGAGGGGGAGGGGAGGGTTGGGGGGGGGGGGGTGGGGTTAGGGGAGGGGGGGGGTTTTAGGGGAGGAGGGGGGGGGGGGGGGAGGGGTTTCGCAGGGGGGGTGGATTCGGCGGGGGGAGGGGGGAGACCCCCGGGTTCCGGAGGAAAAGGTTGGCAATTTTCCACAGTAAAGCGGCGGTGGATCACGCTCTCTCTTACATACAGTCAACCCGAAGAGAAAGGATAAGCAACTGTCCAAGGCTACCGTCGCATCCTTGTCCCTTAGGCCCATCCTTAGCGACTTTCGCTGGCCAACCTCGTTCGAAAAACGTCAACATGGCCATCCAAGGCCTTTGCATCCGTACCGCGCATCCGTATCGGGGAAACCAAAAAGTACCAATACCGCTACTCCCCTGATCTCTCCAGGGGTGCGTTCTGACCAGGATTCCGAGGCGAATCCAGCGGTGGCGACGAGGGCCTCCCAGGAGGCCCAAAAAGGGGGAAACGATGGAAGAGTAGCGCTATCGGTGCCTTCTCTTCCATTGATTATTGAATCGCTTCGCTCATTCCGCCGGCCCGTGGTATGGCATCGCTGGTTTTTGTCTGTGTGTTCGTTGCCCATGTTGCGCTCTTGGGGGCGGGTGTCGTTCGGACGCGTTGCGTGGGGAGTTTTGATGGTGAAGCAGTTCCCTGGGGGTCGTCTCTCGATGGGGCGAAATAGAGTCGTCGTCAAGATGCTTCTTTGGGGGGCCTCTTGGGGTCTGTTGAGAGGCCGTTCGGGGGCGCCTGGGAGACATGTTTGAAGCCTTCTGGGGCTCTCTTGGGCCTCCTGGGAGTCTCCTGGGGCCTCTTGGCGACATCTTGGGGCCTCTTGGAGGCCTCTTGGGGCCTCTTTGGGACCTCCTGGGCGCCTTCTGGGACGGAGGGCTCCATTTTTGAGTTCTCGGTATCCTTCCTGAGTCCCTCTTGGGCCCGTCTTGGGGCCTCTTGGTCCGTCTTGGGCGGCACTTGGGCCGTATTGAGGGCTCTCTTGGGTCGTTTCGGCGCCGTCTTGGGAGCTTCGTGGGCCGTCTTGGAGCGGTCTTGGGGGCCTCTTGGGCCGTCTTGGAGCGTCCGGAAGCCGAAAAAGCCAGAACACAAAAAACATCGAAAACACCAATGAAAATCAACGATTTTGGCCTCTTGGGGCTCTCTTCGGAGGCCTCCTGGAAGGCTCTTGGGGCGTCTTGGAGGCCTCTTGGGCTGTCTTGGGGGCCTTTTGGGCCGTCTTGGGGTCATCTTCGGCGTCTTCGAGCGCTCTTTGGGCGTCTCGGGGGCCTCTTGGGCAGTCTTGGGGGCCTCTTGGGGCACTCTGTGCGCGCTCTGGGGAGCCTGAGAGGCCGCACCCAGAAGGAAAACCATCTCTGAGTAGACTTGGTCGGGCGGCGGTCGGGCGGCGGTCGGGCGGCGGTCGGGCGTTGGTCGGGGTACTTTTCGCCGGGGGACCCCCAGGGGCCGCCCCGAGCGCGCGAACTAGAAATACTGTTAATACTGTTAACCAGGTACCGGAGATCTTAGCACGCCCTGGCCCGTTGGGCCGGCGAATTCTACGGCCCTTGCATCCTTACCGCGCACCCTTATCGTACGGGCTGGCTGTAACGCAGCAGGCCCCGCCCTCGCAGGCCTAGAGGTTGACACCAACACCAAGATCGGCGGTGTACCTCCACCGAGGGAAGACGATCCCGATCTCGGTGATGGTGGTAATATTTTGGCTGCCAAGGTGACCGAAATATTACCACCAGCACCGAAATCTAGGATCTTCCCCCTGTGGAGGCAACGCCTTGTGTTGGTGGTGGTGCCAATTTCTAGGCCTCCAACGCCCCGAGGCCACCGTGCAGCGGGCCGAGAGCGGAGGCAGCTTCGCGCCGGCGTTCCCGCCGCACGCCGCGCCCTCGGGCTTCTTCGACGTGCAGGCGCGCGCCCGCGGGCGGCCCCCACGGAGACGGTGGAGGGGGGAGGAGGAGGAGGAGGAGGAGGAGGAGGAGGAGGAGGAGGAGGAGGAGGCGGAGGGGAGGAGGAAGGCGGAGGAGGAGGAGGATCAGGAGGATCAGGAGGAGGAGGAGGAGGAGGAGGAGGAGGATCATGAGGAAGAGGAGGAGGAGGAGGATCAGGAGGAGGATCAGGAGGAGGATCAGGAGGAGGATCAGGAGGAGGAGGGAGGAGGGAGGAGGGAGGAACGAGGGGCCAGGAGCGAGGAGCCAGGAGCCAGGAGCCAGGAGCCAGGAGCCAGGAGCCAGGAGCCAGGAGCCAGGAGGGAGGAGCGAGGAGCCAGGAGCCAGGAGCCAGGAGCCAGGAGCCAGGAGCCAGGAGCCAGGAGCCAGGAGCCAGGAGCCAGGAGCCAGGAGCCAGGAGCCAGGAGGGAGGAGCCAGGAGCCAGGAGCCAGGAGCCAGGAGCCAGGAGCCAGGAGCCAGGAACCAGGAGCCAGGAGCCAGGAGGGGGGAGCGAGGAGGGAGGAGCGAGGAGCGAGGAGCGAGGAGCGAGGAGCGAGGAGCGAGGAGCGAGGAACCAGGAGCGAGGAACCAGGAGCGAGGAACCAGGAGCGAGGAACCAGGAGCGAGGAGCGAGGAGCGAAGGGCGAGGAGCCAGGAGCCAGGAGGGAGGAGCGAGGAGGGAGGAGCGAGGAGCCAGGAGCCGGGAGCCAGGAGCGAGTTGCCAGGAACCAGGAGCGAGGAGCGAGAAGCCAGAAGCCAGGAGCCAGGAACCAGGAGCCAGGAACCAGGAGCCAGGAACCAGGAGCCAGGAACGACGAGCGATGAGCGAGGAGCGAGAAACCAGGAGCGAGGAGGGAGAAGCGAGGAACCAGGAGCGAGGAACCAGGAACCAGGAACCAGGAGCGAGGAGCGAGGAGGGAGGAGCGAGGAGGGAGGAGCGAGGAGCGAGGAGCGAGGAACGATGTGCGAGGAGCGAGGGGCGAGGAGCGAGCAGGAGCGAGGAGCGAGGAGCGAGAAGCGAGGAGCGAGGAGGGAGGAGTGAGGAGCGAGGAGCGAGGGAGCGAGGAGCGAGGGAGCGAGGAGGGAACAGGGAGGGAGCGAGGAGCGAGGAGCGAGGAGCGAGGAGCGAGGAAGCGAGGAAGGAACGAGGAGCTAGGAGCGAGGAGCCGAGGAGCGAGGAGCGACGAGCGAGGAGCGAGGAGCGAAGGAGGAGGAGGGGAGGAGGGAGGAGCGAGGACGTAGGAGGGAGGAGCGAGGAGCGAGGAGGCGAGGAGCGAGGAGCGACGTGCGAGGAGGAGGAGCGAGGAGCGAGGAGCGAGGAAGAGCGAGGAAGCGAGGAGCGAGGAGCGAGGAGCGAGAGGGAGGAGGGAGGAAGGAGGGAGTGAGGAGGGAGGAGTGAGGGAGGGGAGGGAGGGAGGAGGGAGGGAGGGGAGGGAGGGAGGGAGGGGAGGGAGGGAGCGGAGGAGAGGGAGGGAGGGAGGAAGGAGTGAGAGAGGAGGAGGAGGAGGAGGAGGAGGAGGAGAGGGGGCGGGAGGGGGAGGAGGAGAGGAGGAGGAGGAGGAGGAGGAGGAAGGAGGAGGAGGAGGAGGAGGAGAGGAGGCGAAGAGGAGGAGGAGGAGGAGTGAGCGGAGGCGGAGGCGGAGAGGCGGCAGGCGGGGGCGAGGCGGAGAGGCGGGGCGAGGAAGAGGAAGAGGAGGAGGAGGAGGAGGAGGAGGAGGAGGAGGAGGAGGGAGCAGGAGGACGAGGAGGAGGAGGAGGCGGGGGGGAGGACGGAGAAACAGGAGGGGGGGGATGGGCCGGAACGGGGGGGAGGGGGAGGAGGACGGAGACGGGAGGAGGGAGGAGGCGGAAGGGGGGGGGGAGGAGGCGGGAGGAGGCGTGATGGGGGGGAGGGGGAGGGGAACGCAGAGGAGGAAGGGCACCAAGACCGCTACTCTTCCTTCGTGTTCCCCTTCTTGGGCCTCCTGGGAGGCCCTCGCCGCCACCGCCGACTCGCCTCGAGATCCTGACCAGGACGTACCCTGGGAGAGGTCCTGGAAGTACGGGTGTGGGTACTTCTTGGTTTCCACAGGAATGCGAGGAATGCGATCGACACGAAGCTCCGATCCGACGAGGGGGGCCGCGCCCCCCGTGGGGGCGGGCGGCGCGCTCAGGAGCTCGTGGCCGAAGAGCTCGCCCTGGACGAACGCGATGGCCACCACCACGAACGCCGCCAGGGGCTCACACCTGCTTGCCATTGGGGGAAGCCGCCGACGCCAGCGGCGCCGGCGAGGCGGGCGCCGTCGCGGCCATGTTGGCGAGGGTTTGCCCGAATCCATCCAGCGCGGCTGCCAGGCCTCCAAGGCTTCCATCATGGCCAGCTGCGTCCCCCTGCTGGACTGTCATCCCCCGCAGGAGGCCCGAAGCCGCGCCGCGGCGCACCGCACCGCAGGGCGTCGGCGCCGCCGAGGAGCCGAGCCCGCTCTTCGCTGGTCTCCCAGTTCTGGGCGGCATTGGCGCGGCCAGCCTTCAGCGCCTCCAGCTCCGTCTCGACGCCGTCGCTGTCGTCGCCACGCCCGCGGTGGTCCACAGCGTGACGTCCTCCAGTTTCGGGCTCGTGGGATCCAGGCAGCCGCTGAGCACCATCGATGTCATTTGGGGCGGCAACGTCGCCAGGGGTCTTCATCCTCGTGGCCGCACGCCTTCAGGTGCACCTCGTGCACCTTCATTCGTGCGTACCTGCGCACGCACGCACGCACGCACGCACGCATGCCTGACTCTGTTACGAGGCGCAGCGCCCGCCTTCAGGTCGAGGAGCTCCTGCTCGATCTCGGCATCGACGACGGGCCTCGGCGCCGTGGTCGGCCGCGCGGGGCGCCGAGCCTGGAGGCGCGGCCGCGCAGAGCGCCGCCGCCGGCACCGCCCCCAAAACGCGCGGGGCGGCAGCCTCGGAGCCTGCGGTCGCTGACGGCGCGGAGCAGCGCCTGTGCCGCGCGCGCCTGCGTTCGCCCAGCCACGCGCCTGCGGCCGCCGCGGCCGGCCAGCCGAGGCGGCACGCACGCTAGAGCGGCGCCGCGCCGCCGTCCCGCGGCCAAGGAAGCGAGGGAGGGCGCGGCGCGAGGCGCGGCGGGTCCCGGGGGGGGACAAAAGCCGAGGCGCCGCCCGGCGCGGACTCGCAGGCCCCGCGACAGGCAGCGGCTTGATCCGAGCTGGCGCTTGGGAGGGGGAGGTGGGGGAGAAGGAGGAGGAGGAGGAAGAGGAGGAGGAGGAGGAGGAGGAGGAGGAGGAGGAGGAGGAGGAGGAGGAGGAGGAGGAGAAGGAGAAGGAGAAGGAGAAGGATAATAAATCATTATAATAAGAAGAGGAGGAGGAGGAGGAGGAGGAAAAGGAGGAG